GCAAAGGGTGGAGATTTCCACATATTATTAAAAATAAACAATTTTTCCTTTATGTTTTTCGATGTTAAATATTCACGATATGAGACATTCTCTTTTTTTGTGTTTGTGATCCAAACGTCTTTCTTGAAGTGGCAGTGAAAAGTTCTGCGTGAAGGGTTATAAAACAATTAAGATTGGTTCGAGAAATGATGGAGTAGTTATCGGCATGCTTATCTTTTAATGAACCCTGTGTGTTCTTAGCTGTATTTCCATTTTCGTGTGCTTTTGTTAGTATGTGTGTATATATGTGTATATCCCCTCTCCTATATATATATATACATATATATATATATGTGTGTGTGTGTGTGTATGCGTATTTACACAACGCACGAACAAGTGCACACGCAAAGAAAACACAAACCGGCACACTTGTAGAGGCATACACACACACATATATATATGCAGTTTATATTCGTCTGTCTGTTTCCACAAGCACAAACGAATGAACGAGGAAAGCACACACATACACACACGCGCGCGCGCATATATGGTTATTTTCTAAGCGTAGCTTAGATGTGGCATAAGGCCGAAAGTATGGGGCGCCCAGTGAGGTTCGAACTCGCTATTCAGTTGCAATTGTTCTAGCGAGACAACTTTGCTAATCATTACATACGTTGAAGTGCCCACACGCACACATACATATGTATATGGTGTATCAAAAAATACTTTTATAAACTTTCGGAGCGGGTTCCACACACCAAATCAATGACTAAAGTCCATATAAACATATGTCCGCAAACCCTTCGTTTCTGAGTTATTAAGTTTAGATGGCGCAGTGTTGCCATGTCGACTAGTTTACATTTGTCATTCGTGTACATTTTTGCTAGTCTGTCTTCAACGTTTAATGTGTGTAGTAGTGACTTAACTGAGAAGTGTTCTGTTTAACAATGGCAGCATATTCCTATAATTTTTCGTACGGCTGCGCGAATGGTAATGGACGCGAGGCTGCACGTCTGTGGCAGATTACCGAAGGTAGCAGTCATTCAACCTTTACTGCTGTTTGTCGTCGCGTTGTTGAGACAAGATCCGTGACACCCCAAATTATGGATTGAGGAAGGTCGAGATCCACTCGTACGCCTGACCACGAAGAACACATTCTCTGGGCTGTCGTAGACGACCCAAGTATCAGCAGCACACGTCAAGTGGCCCTAGACTTGTATATCTCACAGTATCGCAGCAAACTTAAGAGAATTACTCATCTAGGATATAACGATTCATTTCTATGACATCTGATAACATAATTAGGACTGAAAAACACATGACCTTGCATAAATATAATACATTGTATAATGAAATATAATGAAAATAATACACATATAATGAAATATAATTATTTTAAGGTGCTTGTATATTTATTGACAGTGATGTCATTGGCTTTCGGTAGATGAGATGACGAAACATAAGATCTTGTCACTCTTGCAAGTCTCAGAAGCAAAACACATTGTCCATATCCTGGCATCAATATATTCTTTTATGAGCCGTCTACTTTTAAGGAGTGGACGATCATAGCTCTCCACAACTTCCTATCTTGCTTTTCTCTAAGTAACATTTGATTCTTTACGATTCTTTTTCTCCATGTTCTCCCATTCATATGCTTCTTCCTCTTTTAGGTGCCATGTCTCTTCAGAATTATAGCCCTCCACAACTTCCTATCTTTTTTTCTCTAAATAACATTTGACTCTTTACGATTTCACTTCTGCCATTCATGTGCTTCTTTTATGTGCCATGTCTTGAACTTTAAAAAAGAATAAAAAGTAGAGACAGGATTTTCTTTTTTTTTTTTTAAGCATTTCACCCCAGGCAAGGCGAGAAGCCACTAAGACGCAATGGGTTACAGAAGATTTGGAGCAAGATCAGATAGGAGTGATAGAGGAAAGGTTGAGGAGAAGGGTAGGGAATAGATCAAGACAACTTGAGATGTCGATTGATATTACATTTGAATAGTTGGAGATTATAGCTCTCAGGGAAACTAGAATAGGGAATGGAGTTCCACAGGCGAGAGGTGCGAGATATGAAGATATTGGAGTAGAAGAGATAGCTACATTTAATAGTTTCGACAGTGAAAGGGTGAGAGAGGGATGCCAGCCTCGTAGGGCGCTTGAATTCATGAAGTCTGGGGACCAGCGAATGCAGCTCCTCGGAGCAATTGCCATGAAAGTATTTGTAAAAAAGACAGAGAGAGGCGACGGCGCGTCTGTGAGAAAGTGACCGTAGACGAGATGCCAGAACAGGGCCAATTATATTGCATATACGCCTCTGGATCTTATCAACATAACAGAAGGGGCTCCAGACCATATATGGCAGCAATATTCCATGCAAGGGCCAATTATTGATTTGTAGATCTGGAGGATCGATTCCGGGGAGAAAAATTTCCTGGCGCGGCACAGGGAGTCAACTTTCCTTGCGGTGGACGAAGCAATTGACTCAATGTATTTGTTCCATCTCAGGTCAGCAGTCAACGTGAGACCGAGCAGCCGCAGAGAGGTGCTCTCGAGAAGTTGAGCGTCAGACATTCTAATGGAGGGCAGGGAAGGGTCTCTCTGGTGATTAATAGAGAGCAGTTTTGTTTTTGAAGCATTAAAGTTGACCAGCCAATTCCTGCCCCAGTTCACAACCGATTGGAGGTCCTTTTCGAGACGCACAACTAGGTTATTTTTGTCAGTGACACTAGATTTGTTTTTGAGGCAGGAATAAATTGTGGTGTCATCCGCGTAGATGCCAACTTGGGAATTTATGGCGCCAGGAAGGTCATTTATGTAGATAAGGAATAGAGTGGGGCCTAGGATTGAGCCTTGAGGGACACCTGCGTTCGTGGGATAGGAACTGGAGGAGAATCAATTCACGGTTTGACAGGAATGATTGTATTAGGTCAAACAATCGACCCGTAATGCCATAACCCTGGAGCTTGCGAAGAAGGCCGGCATGCCAAACCTTATCAAATGCTTTGGAGATGTCTAGGGCCACGGCACGAGCTTCCCCGTTATTTTGAAGAGCTTGGTAGACAGTTTCAGTGATGGCCGTAAGCACATCAGCTGTAGATCGGGCAAAGCGGAAGCCATATTGCTTGTCTGAG